TCCCATTCACAGATTTCAGTCCATGGTTAATGGGCCTTGCTGCTTGTGCTTTAGGGTGAAGCCACTTTTCATGGTGGAGAGGGAGGGGAGAGCAGAGCCCCTTACCTCACGATCCAAAGCAAAGCAGAGGAAGAGGAGGCCCTGAGCTCTGCTCCACTTCAAGGGTGCACACACCTTCAGTGACCCGGAGCCACCTCCAGGCCCTGTCTCTTAGTTCACATCATGTCCTAACAGTGTGGAAAAGACCAAAAGTCTGCAGTTGAGGGCTGTAGGGGACGTTTACAATCTAGACTATAGGCGGAGCCTGCCATGGGTCTTTTATATCCTTAAACTTTTTTTGGTTCATTTAACTTGTCTTATATTGAGAACAGTGTGTGAACTCTCATTTTGTCACTGGGTTTCTATGTCTACCTCTGTCTCTTTATTCCATTGCTTGGTGCATAGCTATGTTATATCTTAATTGTGGCTTTCAGCATTAAAACCCGATCTTCTCTATAATGTCTAATGCACTTTGCATAACTTATCTTTTCTGATATCAGGTTTGTTACTGATTTTGTTTTAATTTTCCTAGTACATATCTGGCTATCTCTATATAATTATTCTGAATGACCTTGAATTCCATTAAAATTTTATGTGTAAATTGTTATGTTTCTCTACATGATAGTTTTGTCATTTTATTTTATATGTTTCTTTTAGTGTTCTCTCAAGTATATTATTTTGCAGCTGTTCATTTGTTGCTTTTTTATTGCATGATGACAACTGTATATTTTTATAAGGGCTTGCATTTTTTTCCTACTTGTATCTTTATACAACTAGAGAAGTTTAATGTCAGTCTGTTCCCCTCATAAGTAATTTGATCTTTCTCCCTGGATGTCCTAAGTATGTCTTCTCTGTTGTTGCTATCTAATAATTTTAGTAGGCTATGTCTTGTAATTGACTGCTGTGGATTAGTTTTTTTCTGGTGGTTGGTTAGCCCTTTCAATCTGTACACTAGGACTTCATTCAACTCGCTACGTGTTCTTTAATTACAGCTTTCAACTTGAATTCTGTGCTGTGTTTTCTTCTTCAATGTCTCTACTCAGTGAATTCAAGTTTCTTTGCTTGTCTTTCAACAATCCAACCACCTTAATTCTTCCTATTTTGTCATATTTCCCTGTTTTTCTTCAATGTTTTACATGTTTTCATTCAAATTTATTCTTTAGATATCTTACACTTTAATCTTTACTTATATAATCTGTAACTTCATGTTTTTCTTCCATTTGTTTCTAGAGTTTAATCAGTGGTCACTTCTATTCTTCTTCTTTGTTTTCTTAGTTTTTAATTTCTGATTTGTAATTTTCCTATCATATGTGTAACTGGTTTTTTTTTTTTTTCCCTGTGGCTACTAGGGATTGAACTCGCAACCTTGTACTTGCCAGGCAGGCGCTTATACCACTGAGCTAAAACTTGGGCCCCAATGTGAACTGATTTTAGAGGATATTTTAAATAATGATACATATATTTTGTAGTTTTTCTTCCTCACTACTGTTTTCCAGAGATTGGGCTCATCAACTGAATTTTTTCCTGAATGTATATGATTTTTATTTATTGTTTTAGTACTGGGGACTAAACCAAGGGCCTCACTCATGCTAAACATATAGTCTATCAATCAGTTTCACCTACAGCCCTATTTTTTAAAACTTATGTTGCAGAGACAGAGTATTCCCTCCTCAGAGCTCTTGTGGACAAGCAGGGCCAGGTGGTTTGAGTGGTTTGTGACTTTTTGTTTGAAGAATACCCTTTTATGTAGCAAAGTGGGATACAGACGGTGCTATGAGTAAAACAGATGTGTGTTCTGCAGTTAAAAAAATTTGTTTCTGAAACTGTGTAGTCAGATTGGCCTTGAACTCACCACCAGCCCAGGCTGGCCATGAATTAGTGGTAATTTTCCTGTCTCAGCCTCTCACCTGCTGGAATTATAGTCATGCACCACCACACCGGGCATTTTTGTTCTTTTGTTTAATACAATTCTAAACTTTTCCAATTACAGTTTTCAAAACTTCTCTCTTTCTTAACTCTTCTTTATCTTTTTAGCACCAGTTTAAGTCCATTTTATCAACAGTTTTAAAAAATATTTTCACACTGAGAGTTGCCTTTTTGTTCTGGAGGTGATTTCTGTTCAATCGGAGGCCCTGACATCCCAATCCCTTGTTCTGGCACAGTCTAGTTTTTCCTGGGCTCCTTTAGGCATGACCTATTGTTACAGTATGCTGCTGGAATCTGGCATCTATTGTTCTCCACGTATGCCACTGAAAGTCTGTTTGTTCAGTATCTTTTAGCAGTATGGAGATCTTGGGTTGTGAGTGGTTATATTTGTTCTTCTTCTTTATGTATACATATGCATATATACACGTGTGTGTCTATATTTTGTATATGCAGCATATACAAATATTTTACATACGCACATGCTATCTTTGTTGAGACAATCTCTTGTATGTTACCTAAACTGGCCCTGCATTCCTGAGCTCAACAGATTTTCCTGCTTCTGCCTCTCAAGTGGTTGAGACGACAGGCATGAACTAGCACAACTGGCTTTTTAATTATACTTTTATAATATATAGTGCTTCAAATAACCTCACTCAACTATTATCTCAACTGTACAGCATTCTTCCATTTGTTATTTTAACCAGATTTAGTGGATACTGAGCACAGTGGGAATCTTACCAACTCATCACGAGAATATTTGTTTCTTTCCTGATAACCAATTTTTAATCTATTTGATTTATTCGGTAGCATGTTTTCTTCTTGGGTTGAAGCTGGTGAAATTTGGTTAATTTTTAGTTTTATTTCATTCATTTCATTATGTATTTAGATATGCAAATTCTGTAAGTAACTTTAAATCTGTTATTTAAACTTGAATTTTAAAAGCTAATACATTTTATAGAACTGTAAGAAAACAAGCATTGATATAATACTTGTAAGAAATTAGGCTCAAATTCTAAATAAATGTCTTTTAGATTAAAAGTTTTACAAATAAATCCACTCATAGTATGGAACAGTTGTTAAATATACATATAAATTTATTCAAAAAACTATGAAAGTATTAAATAGATGACTAAGATTTTTTGAAAACATTCTAGTCACCAACTTAATAGAAGCAGAAAATTCAGTTCAACACAAATAATAACACTGCCTGCACAGCCTGGCTAACTGGATTTTTCTCTTCCTTCCAGGCTCATTCATCACATACTTACTTTATGGCAGAGGCCAAATCTCTACTACCACGAAGGCTGCATTTCAGAGAGGGCCATAGATAGGAACCATGGCATGATGCACAGCGCTGTAAAAAGGGCCTAGGGACGGTGGCTATGAGAAACTTGGACGTCAGCAAAAACTTATTTAGAAGGAAGATGGTTGAACAGAGACCTGATAAAAAGCTCACATACAAGAGCTGAGGAAAGAAGTTGCAAGGCAGTGGGAAAAGCAAATGCAAAGATGGCTGCAGCAGAACGACTAAGAGGTCAGCATGCTGGGCCTGCGAGTGCAGGGGACAGCGAGGTAGGAGCAATGATAAGCCGCTTGGACTGTGTTCTGCCTGCCACTGACGGCCAGTAAAGAGCTTTACAACATTACTCACGACTGTTAAGACAGTGGACTGCAAAGGGGTAAAGAAGGGAGATAAAAGGCTGGTGAAAAAGATGCGGCTCAAGTTCTGCCAAGAGGCTCGCTGCAGAGCGTGGAGATCAGGGCTCAGCCACAGAAAAGATGACAACCCTTGCTAGGAACCGTATGTGTGGCATGGAGAGGAGACAGTGCTTATTCACGCACTGAAGCTGCAGGGAGAATGTACAGTCTCGGGTGATATCTATGGTGGTACCATTCACTACACTGGAGAAGATGGGGAGACTGAAGCATGGGGTACAAATTCTGCTGAGGTCAAAGCCCATCTGTCTTTCTCTATCACTTACACACACAAGAGGAGGCAAAAATGAGAAGGAGAGATGAAAGATGTGCACATCAGATCGTACCAGCACAACCTGTCAAGTCCCAAGTGCTAAGGGCAGCTGTAGACTAAGCTAAGGCAGGCAAAGTAACATGGTTTGAACAACTAGACTGCTGCATGGCTTGAATCCTCACTGCCTCCCCAAAGGCTCATGGTTTGAAGATTTGGTACCCCGCTAGAGGAGCTATTGGGAGGTGGAGGTGGTGCAACATTTAGGGAGTGAGCCCACTCTGGAAAGCAGACCACTTGAGGTGCTCCTGCCCCTCCTTTTTGTCCTTCTGCTTCCCAGCTAGCACCTCTCCTGCTGTGACACTGTCTCACCGCGGTACCAGAGCAATGCAGCCAGATGACCATGGACTGAAACCTTTGAAACCACGAGCCTCTACTTTTCACATGCTGATTATCTCATGGATTTTGTCACAGCAGTGGAAACCATAGGGACACAGTTATCGATAGTTCAGGACGAAGCCTGAGTGTGGAGACCACAATGGGGCCTCATCACTGCATGCAGCTTGGAAAGTTATGGCAGCAGACAAAAGGTCTGTAAAGCTGCACCCCGATAGGAAGAGAAAATGATGAAGACACACAAAACAGGAGACGGTACTGTGTTTGTTCTTAAGGTTTCTTGAGGACCCAAGGAACCAGGGACTAAACATGAGTGACACAAGAATGGGGAAGTGCTCAACCGTGTCAAAAGTCGGATGAAGACGCAAGGTGACTTCAGTAGCGTGATCACGTTCAACATCCTGAGTGAGGCAGTGTGGAAATGAAGGTGGTAACTACAAGTAAGCCTTCTGAGAAGGTTAAACACGAGCACCTCAGAAAGAAGCCAGGATTAACAACTTTTACTCATAACAACAGCTTAGTTTCTAGTGTGCTTCACAGAAATGTCACTATTACTCTTCATCAAGCTCTACAACCAAAATATATATATAGTATATATATGCATTTAGTATAATATGTATAGAAATATTACAGTACAGCAAAAGGTAACTTTCAAAAAGATTGTTTTTCTTGCCTTCGCTGATTGAATTTAATGTGTCCTGTTTGCCATCTCCGTCTTGTGACTGGCCTGGGTCCAGCGAAGTCTGCGAAAGGCTACCTTCGGCTGAAAACTGGTCAAGATTTTGGTAATTTTTCCTGTAAGACAAGGATAAAATGCTCCTTGAACTTCACAAAAATGAACTTTCTAGAGGTATTTCTTTAATGGTTTTCAGTTTCTTAAATTTCTGGTTAATCTTTTAACACTGTCTCTTAAGTTTTTCCTTTATTAATGGCCTTACTTTGCTCTCCATTATATTTTTCTACATATCCTCTTTGCAGGTAATTTATTTACTTACTGAAAACAGAACAATAATTTGTCAAAAAATTAAAATTTTCACATTAATTTTTGATTATTCATAAGATAATTAAAAATGGGAACTTCTAGGGCCGGGGATATAGCTCAGCAGCACAGCGTTACCTGGCAAAGTCCTGAGTTCGCTTCACAGTACATACACACACACACACACACACACACACACACACACACACACTCAGGTGGGTGGCTGGGTGGGAGATACTTCCAACTGATTTCTTTATAATTTTCAAAACAGAAATTTTGCATATTATTATTAATGAAGAAACAAAATTGGCATAACTTAATAACTAGTGTCTCAAGTAATTCAGAATTTTTCAATCTCTTGATACTGTTAGACAGTAATTACAAAACAAAAACAAATTACAAATTACTATACTATAATTTAGAACTTTAGATATGCTGCATACTTATTTGTATTTACACACCATTAAGAAAGTTAAACTTCTCCTCTCATTTGCTATTTTGAGGCCCATTTTAATTATGCTAATTAGAAATGAATCATATCAGAAGTTAGCACTGTAAGTGGAAGGCTAATGAAAGCTTATTATTAAACTTTTCTCATATTTGGTTCTTCTGGGGTTACTTACTTTTCATACAAAAGACAGACTTCCTTATTATTTCTAAATTTAAGTGGCCTAGAAAAAGGACTAAGTTTTTCAAACTCAGTATCTATTTCACAAGGCAGCCAAAACTCATCCAATTTTCTAGACTGCTTGATGGGTTTTTATTTACTTATTTACTTTACATGTCTACGGTTCATAACATTTCCATTCCTTGTGGGGAGCGAATCCATGGACAGAATGCATCTCAATTAGTTTGTCATCCTCTTTCCCTTCCTCTCATCCCCCCCACCTCATCCATTTATTGATCCTCTTCCCATTTGAGAAAGACTTATCTCCGTATTTCCTGTTATCTTTTATTTTGTTCTTTATTTGTATTTTGGATTCCTTGTATGTGAGAAACTGTGTGATATTTAAGCTTGTGTATCTGATTTATGTTGCTTAACATTATGGTTTCACTGCATCCATTTTCCTACCAATGATTCAGGTTTATTTTAGTGACAGAGTGATACTACACTGTGTGTAAACCCTGCATTTTTTTAATTCACTCATCTGATGATGGACATATAGGCTGCTTCCAGAATTTAGCTACTATGAATTTTGCTGATATAAACATGGCTGCAAATGTATCACTATAACACAGAGTCTTTAATTCTTTTGGAAGATAAGCAGAAAGGGAATAGCTGAGTCAAATGGTTTCTAGTTTTAAATTTTTAAGGAATCCTATACTGCTCTACAGAGTGGTTGTATTACTTTATATTTCCACCAACAACATGGTAGAGTTTTTATTTTCCCCATAACCTCACTAGCATTTGTCATCTGATTTCTTGATGACAGCCATTCTTTCTGGGGTAAGATAGAAGTTGTTTTAATTTGTGTTTCTCTAGTGGCCAGAGATGTTGAACATTCCTTCATGTATGTATCGGCTAAAAACTTCTGTGAAGCATCTATTCGTTTCACTTGCCCATTTTTTGATTGGGTCTTTTATTATGAAAGCCTAATTTTGAGCTCTTTATATATTATATGATAATATTATAAGAAAGCACATATAACTTAAATGATCTATTTCATAACTATCTCTATTCATACACACAAAAACAGACCTACAAGTATTTACACAGCACGTTCCACATTCCAGGCAGTTTCACATATGTATGTTGTTAAATTATTTTACCCTCCTCAGTACCCAAAGAAGACAAAATTATTACTACATTCACTTTATAGCAGAGGGACCTGGGCATTTAGACACTAGGTTTAACACTGGTTGCCTGGCCTTAATTACAGATTTATCAAAGGTTCATATTTACATATGACATGAATATTTTGCTTAGATGCTATTTCATGTAAGGATTCTATCAAAAATGAAGAAATAGAAAAACATAATTTACTAAAACTAGATTCATTTTCAGGAAGCTCGCAGCAGGTTTACTGAAACAGTAGTTAGTATAAACTGCTTTTGTATTTATTATCTACCAATTTTATTAGTGTAGCACTTTACAGAGTTTTATATATACCACAAGTATAACTTGGTTTTCCTTTTAAGAAGTGAAGCATCCTATCATCTTGTTTTGAAAGCCTAGGGATTGTTGTTGTTGTTGTTTGTTTGTCTCTTTTGCTTTTCATTTTTCTTTTCTGTGTTTTCTATTTTAAATTAAAAAAGTGAAGCATAAGGAGATGAAATGAGGTAATGGAACTTTACTTGCTTACAATGCAAACGGTGTTTTTAGTTTATAATATGATGACTTTCCAAATGCTGCGAGTATCAAAGGCCTTATTTAGATTTTTTAAGTAGTAGAAAATTCTATCACAGGAAACCTCAGATACAGCAGATAGCAGTTTATGAGATACTTAATATGTAATAAAAGGATACTCAGTATTTACATAGTACTTGCTACATGTGAAATCATATCATATAGGTCTTGTTTAATCTTCCTAAGTACCCGAAGAGGATGGAATTATTACTATCTTCATTTTACAGTAGAGGAACGGGGGATATAGATATGAGATTAAGGTTGGTGTTTGCTCTCTTAAGTACTCATCTCTGCTGCACTATAGAAAGAAAATATTTGACTTCCTATTTTATTAGAAAACCCCAAAGAACAGTCTTATTTGCTAAGATAAAAACACAAATTATACTACATTTAGTCACCATGTTAAAAATTTCACTTTTTATTTATTTAATAAAAACAAAGTGTTTAGTTAAAAGTGATCACAGAAGAACTCAAAATGCAGAGTAAGGATGAGAAACATCTGACTGGCCCATAGTTTTAGTTCTCACTAAATGAAACTCCAAGCTTTGCATTTTTAGGAAAAGTAAAACTGTAATTTCAGCAGACAACAGCATGGGAAGTTTTTGTTACACAGATTAGTTTCCATTTAGTCAACTGTTCTGGCTGTCTCGACTGGGATAGATACGTTTATGCAGGGCTGTGCTTGACCCTTCTTTGCAAGCAGCTTTAGATCTGTAATACACCTGGCAATCGTCTCCTTTCCTAGTGTGCAGAAATCCTGCGCCACTTGCTTCTCCAACGAGCTTATCATGTGTTCTTGTTCCTTTCGATGAATCACATTCTGCTCAGAGATATGACAGTCCAGGCGATTCTTTGCTTCCTTTTATATTGCTGGTAGGCAACTCCAAGCATATTAATAGCATATTAATATTCTGGATATCACAAAGGTAGTGGCACTTGTAAACAAGTGCCTACTGGGACTTCTCCAATTCAATTTCAATTGAATTGATACTTGCTTTGCCCCTCCTAGCTGGGCAATTTTTTCCTCACTGAATTTATCAGTAAGTTCTCCAAAAGAGGTGCCTTATTTTTTAATTACACAGTAAGCAGTCCTACTAAGTAACGCATGTGGTAGAGAAGGTCTTTGGGGCAATCACATATATTTCTTTGGACAGAAAATAGAAGATAAGCCCAGTTCCAAGCACGTAGGGTCCTTTTATACCAGTTTTAGGATAAAGGAACTGGAAGCATTCCTCAGGAATCAGCTTCCCTGCCATATTCAGGAAGAGGCGGTAAAGGAGCGAATCTCGCTGCCCTGCGGGAAAGATCCTGTCTCCTGCACAACCCTTGGTTCTAGGAGGACTGCATTCTTCAGACTGGGGGCCACTGTGGCAGTGGCAGAAAGTCCCACCTGGGACAGCATGGTCAACAGAAGTCCAGGAAGTGGTTTTAGCATCCCTGTGATTTTTTTATTAAAATCTTATTATTATTTTTTTTTTTAGCTATAGAGAGAGCAGCACCATAAGAATCTAATGAGCAATGAGAAATGCTTGTTTTCCAAGTTATTTCTCTCTGTACAATAGGTAGAAGGCCTGCTTTTTAAACTAATGGCTTAGGACGAGTTTCTGATCCTCATTTTTCATCACAGGAAATTTGTTTATATATGAAATTAAGTTTTATATATAGAAATATTAAAAACAAAATCCCCATAAGCAAAAGGATGCGGAACTTATACAACACTGAAGTGCTGGCCTCTACCACCATAATCTCCAGGCCACCACCCAGAGAGGCCACGCTGGAAAAGTGGCCCTCAGACCAGCAACACCAAAGGGGTTTATTGTGCGATTATGCAAGGTCATTTTAGAATGGCCCACTTTCAGTCCAAAGTGATTTTGAACCTTTCTACCCTTTGTCAGTTAATTACACTTAGTGAATAACCTTGAGATAAAAATTTTATGTCAATAAATGCCAATGAATACAGAACCAGAATCTAGGAAATGGTGCTTTGAAGCAGTAATACAAATTACAACTCCAAACTAAATAGTTCGTTCCTAAGTTGTTAAGAAGACAGCCTTGTGCTACCTCCCATGCCACCATCTGGAGGGAAACTAGCTCAGCTGCTGCTGGTGTGGCTCTGGTTTGCACAGGACACAGTACCGATTTCCAGGGGGAACAGGTAGCCCCAAGTGACAAGCATGTGCTCCTTACTCAGTAAACTGTAAATCAATCAAAGCTCTGTGCTTAAAGGTCACACACAATTAAGTCTTATTTTACAGTTCTGGATTTATTTTGTGCATTTTTCTGTTTCTTCTCTGTAAGCAAGAATTTTTGTCTATGTCTTATATTCTGAGTAACTACTTTGTAAGTAATGATACATATGTATTAAATATTATTCTCTTAGTGGCACAAGTATAGAAATATTGATTATGGGGGCTGGGGATTTAGCTCAGCGGCATAAGCGCCTGCCTTGCAAGCAGGCAGTCGTGAGTTCGATCCCTGGTACCAATAAAAAGGAAAAAGACAAAAATAAATAAATAAATAAATATTGATTATGAAACTTGGTTTTATTTTTTCATTAATTTTTAAAACACCAGCTTAACCAAAATCAGAGCCTAAAATAGTTGTCATACGTTCTGACTATATACAAAACTATAGCTTAATATATGCCATTACATGGTAAATACATTTTAAATTAAACTTGTAAGAGTTATGTGGTAAGTCATGGACACTGGGGATATAATAAAATCTACTGTACAGTCAATGTCTATTTAAATATTGTAAAATTGCTTAAAAACAAACCATTCATTTACATAAAATTGAGTACTAGCGAAAGGCAAATTAAAAGAAAGCTGAGCAAAAGGCCTGAAGACACTTATTAATTTTTTAAAACTTTACATTTTGTATCAGTGATCAGAAATAAAATGGATAACCTCTGTCATTTGTTGAGGTCAATTATAATTTAAATTTCCTGGTAGTTACTGTGCAAGGCATAGAGTGTGATGCACAGAAGGATCTGAGGATTACCCACATGTGATGAAAACAAACCCATCACACTGTACATGTGGTGGCATTCACTTAAATGGGGACAATGTTATTTTTATTCTTGTTTTTCTTCACAGAAGTATGTTTAAGGAAGAAAATAATCCTTTGCTGCCACAGAGTATCTGTATTTACTCAATGAAGCTTGGAGAAGGATGGAAGGAAAGTCTGATGGGACAATATATGTCAGTTAGGTAAGTGCCCAACTTGCAAACTGTAAAATATTTTTTGCAGCCTCAGAGCTTTAGAGATTCCTACTTTAAAAGTATTAAGGAGAACTCTTAATATATTTGAAGGAACAGTCATTAATAAAAACTAAAAGCCTAAATGATAGACCATAAAGAGTATAGAAAAGCTCCTGAGTCACCTGATTTATAATGTAAATCAGAGCCAAACTGAAAGCCAATGATAAATTTAAAAGTCTGAAGAAATTTAACTAAAAATTTAAATATCTAATGAGCAATGAGAAATGCTGGTCTTTTGGGGAATCTGGTCTTTTGGGGATATAGCTCAGTAGCATAATGTCTGCCTGGGAAGCGCAAGATCCTGAGTTCAATTCCCAGTACAAACGAAGAATGGGTAGGTAATAATCTAGCCAGATTATCTAAGAGATAATCTAGTGAGGTTATCAAAGTCATGTTACCTATACTTTATATACAAAAAAGATACTAAAACAGAACTTATTTGAAACAAAAAGGAAATAATTATTCTATGCTGTGTAAAGAAAATATGCTCCATACGTGATCTAAGTGAAACATTTGGTAAATGTTTAAATTAAAATTACAGTAAAAGACACATTACCATAAATCCCCTTCAAAATACTCCCTCTCAATTTTTTTTTTAGTTTCTTTTTTTGAGTAATTTTTATTTCAAAGAGAATAAAGCCAAGCAAAATAAAACAGAATAGAGCCAATCAAAACAAAACAGTGTAAGTGACACTAGACTTCAAAGCAAGACAATAGGAAATCAATAGTGGCTACAACAATGTCTCTAGTGCCCATCGTCCCTGCCGCTTCCTGAAGCAGTTCTGAAGTCCTTTTTTGTGCCTCTGGTTGGCACTGTTGTGGCTGCCTGGAGGTCTTGAATCAACAGAAAGTATTTACCTGTCTTGGTCATTTTGATTTTGGGGAGAGCCAGAATTTGCACGTGCCAGACGCAGAGAATGAGGCGGCTGAGGACAGACAGGAATGTTTTTAGGAGCTGTCTTTTTGTTTTTTTGTTTTTTTTTTTTTGTCTTTTTTTTTTTTTGTCTTTTTTTTTCGTTTTTATCGGTACCGGGGATCGAACTCACGACCGCCTGCTTGCAAGGCAGGTGCTTATGCCGCTGAGCTAAATCCCCAGCCCCTAGGAGCTGTCTTTTTGTTGGAAGGTGCTCAGCAGCAGCATTCACTGTAGTTTTTAAAAATCAAAGCTTGTAAACACATTCATGAATGAGGACTCCCAGAACAGCTTCAGACAGTAGCAAAAATGATGGGATAAATTCAAAGCTGGGGAAAATATTTTGAGGGAAATTAATAGCCATGTGTTTTTTACTATAATAAATTATAAAAAAATTAAACATTCACAGTATATTTGGGTCATACCTTATATACTCACTGAATTTTCACTGTAAGCCTATAATTTCTGTTAATTTTTATAGAGTATTATTATGTTTGAAATACAGGAAAAGACATCAAGTTCAACATGGCTAGTATTGCTAGGCTTACCTAATCAAGAAATAAATCAGAAATTATATTTTTAAAATTTTATAAACAGCATAGCAAGTAGAGATGGATTTCAGATCTTCTATTGGGAGAGGCATCCTTCCTTAAGCAGACAATAATATAATCAAATTATCCATTAGCTCGATTTTGGAGCTATAACGAAGACCAGCAAATCCCTTAAACACTACAGCAGACTGAAGTTAAATAAGCACAAGGCCACTGAGGTAAGGCTGTATCACTTTTCTGAATTCCTAGAACAAATTGTAACCCAACAGTACATAAACAGATTGAAATCTAATTTAGGTATTCATTTTTTGTAACAAGGAGCCAACCCCACGCTGGTCCAAGGTGGCCCACTGATTTCGACAAGCCTATGATAAATAAATGCTTAATCACTTTGTGTCCAGGTAAGGCCCTCAGGTGATTTCTCTGCTTTTCTTTCTTGTCAGTCTATAAAACCTTATTGTTGCTACTGCTGGGCAGGATTCTCTGAACCTATTCTTACAGTCAGATTAAGCAGGGATGTGAGACCTGAAGAGAGATCTTTATTTAAGCTAATGGAGTAACTAAATCAAGCATGAAATCTGGACGCAAGCTCAACAGAACAAACAGTTTCCCTGCCTGGTTTTCTGAGATTGTAGTTACTTCCACTTTGTACTCTTTACTGGCTCCTCACTGGGTGATTTTGTAGGCAGACAAGGGTTCACATGTTGTGGCCACTTCAGGACAATGTGGGTATTGCAATTGAAAAGGCACAGTCTTTTAACTTACTAAGATGGAATGTTGTTATGGTATTTGCAGTTAAAGCATGACCATCTTGTGTTTTTATACACAGAGTGGTAACTTGGTCCACAAACTTCATTTGTTCCATGATTTTGGAAACAATGGCCACGTTTGTGTCTGCTTGGGAAAGATGGCTGAGTTATATTGTCATCCTATGCAGAATTTCAAACAAAAACAAAATTTTGCCAAATGCTTTTGTTTATGAACCAAGGTACCACTGTATAGTATATCAAGTATTACTACAAAGTATATTTTTCAGTCATAATTCAAAAATAAAAATATTCTGTATTACCATGACACAAAATATAGTAAATATACTCTTAATATTCAAAAACTTCAAAAGCGTGTATAAAGCTAGATTCCACTCATGAAGGTCAACACTTTGAATTACATGAAGAAACATGATTTAGCAACTGAAGAGAGCAACTGATTTATTCCACAAATGATTTGTTCGCTTCTAATATCAATGAAACAAGGAAAAGCACTAAAGTCCTTATCAGTTCTTTCAGCAATAAAAAGCCAAACTTATTTTGAATTCTATGTCTGATAAACAGCAAAGGCCCAGTTGCGCTGAAACATCCCCTAGGCAAATGTGTACTGCCTGCCTGTGAAACGCACCCTGAAAAGCATAGGTGTGGGTGTGGCTCTGTCAAGGAGCTCTAAAAACAAGGATTCTTAGAAAGAAGAAGGGTGGACAAGGAAGAGAGGATAAAGAAGGGAGTGAAAGAGACAAAAGGGAGGGGGAAAGGGAATAAAACAAGAGGGCAGGAGGAAAGAGCACTGTGAAAAACAGGCTATCTGAACAAAAAAACACAGTGGAAACAAATGATTATGATGCAAAAGTCAAAAGAAGGTGATTACAATCTGTTAACATCAACATACCTAAGAGGAGATTTTGCAGCGCACTCAACACTGAGGCACTGTAACTGCTGAATATTCCTGAACTCTAGACAAAGAAATAGCAAAAGGTTTTGTGGCTTACAGGTGAAGCGATTACATATACTATACATTCTAAAAATTAGCTTTATTGAGAACTAACAAAACTCTTTTAGACCACAAAGAACAAGTATGCATCTCTCACCCTTTCACAAGCTGACGTTTAATGTTTTCCTGACAATGAGGAAAGCTAATCTGAGGCAAATGTAACACCAAAAGAATTGAACCTAGAACTGAAAAGTAAGAGTCAGATACAAGCTCCTATGCATCACTGAAGGCCTGGCTGGTTCAGTAATATTGCACAAGTATCGCCCAGATATTTTACTTCCCCAGGGTGCCTTGGCTTCAAAAATATTAACATATTTGATTTTAATGTAACCTTACTGTAGGAGTCCTAAATCTACCTTTGTTCTAATAAATTCAGAACAATAACTGAGACAACACTGGATTGCCACATGTTTCGGGAAAGTGAGTTTGTAATTAGTTGGAAAAAAAAAGTATTACACTTACTCATACCACTGTTTATTGTGTTTTCGGAAAAGCAACGTATCCAAGGCAACAGCACTGGCATCCAGAGCTCCTGGGGAAGGCCACTGGTTGGTGAGGTGGGCAGTTAACTCTTGTCGTGATCTTAAATCATTATTCTTTAACACAGTCCTGTGAATATTAAGATGGTGAGTGCGTTCATCTTCACTGTTCTACAATGGCAGAGGAACCTAACGGTATCAATTTCGGCCCCCCAAAATAATACTGTAAACATGGCAGGTCAGCAGGCTGTGAACAAACCACAGCCACGCTGGCGGCACGACCGGCCGCTGTTCTCTCTCATGCAATCTGCGCCTTTCATTCTTTCTCTGCTGGTGACAACAGAGCACAACTGCTGAAATTCAAGCTTCCAACTGGTTCCATAGAGTATTTCTAAAGATTACAGATTTCAAGCAGCATTTACTTTTTAACTAAAAAACAACAGTGGTACCTGGAAGATACAGGCTATCAAAATAGCAGAGAAATAAAGTTAAAATAGCAGAGAAAGTAAAGATTTCATGTGTGTAGTTGCTTTAGCTTCAAAATTTAGAAACAACCTATAAAAGTAATGAAACAAAAAAAAAAGCATTAAAATGCAATGTTTAAAAAGAAGTACAGCTGGGTGTGGTGGTGGTGAGCACTCCTAATCCCAGCACTCAGAAGGCAGAAGCAGGAGGGTTGCCATGAATTTGAGGCCAACTTGGCTACATAGTGAGTTCAAATCCAGCCTGAACTACAAAGTGAGACCCTGTCTCAAAGAAAAAATTGCAGAATATTACAAAACCTGTAAGTGATCACTAATAAATCTTTATGAAGATGATTAATCAGTGACAATTCATTGATTCACTGGAGTTCTTTTTTTTTTTTGTACTGGGGATTTAACTCACAACCTTGTGCTTGCCAGGCAGGTGCTTACACTTCTGAGCAAAATCCCTGGCCCTCCTCTGGAAATATTTCATTATACAATGAGGCCAGTCTAACAACTCATGGCTATAGCTTTTATACACTGAAAATATCATCTTTGCTTTTGCTTCTTAAATTGTAACTACATCCCAAATATTTAAAAAGATCAAACTTAATATACATCTCCCAATGTCCATTTTATTTTATGCCTCTTTCATGAAGATGTTCAGACTACTCTGTCCAGTGACACACCTGTATTGCTTTGTAGTAAGTCTCATAATTTAATAATCAGTTACCCTAATAATTTGGGCTGTCTTCTAGGTCTACTTTGATTATAAGCTACTTGGCTTTGTTTCACACTTCTTCATTGTAAAATGGTATCTTGGTTACTTTTCTTTTGTTGCTGAGACAAAATACCTGATGCTTCAAATTAGGGAAACAATGGTTTATTCAGTTTACAGTTTTTGGAGGTTTCAATTCATAGTCACATTGCTCCAAAGCAGGGTGGTGTGGCACAGGGACAACTGTTCATGGTGATGGCAGGTCCCAAAGGCAACCAGAATAAAAAAAGGGCAAAAAGGAAAAAGCACGCCTTCTCCCCTCCCTTATATTGTATGCCAGTTACCCACCCGTGGGCAGGTGCAGTGCTCACACAGCCAATTCCAGCACTAGACAATGAACCAATCGCTAACGTTAGACTCAGCCGTCTCCATGACTGCACGAGGCTTTGAGGGGACATCCAAACACAAACCATAACAGATCATTAGCATGACACTGGGAGCCCTGTGAGAATATTTGTAATTCTGGGCTGAGATGGTGTAGCTCAGCAGCAGAGCACTTCCTGTAGCTTTTCCACACACCACTTGAATGAAAAGCCTGGGATCAAGAGCTTCCAAGTCAGACTGCATGGGACAGTGACAGTTCCATCATTAATCTACACAACTTTGTGTTCTTATTCTTACAATCTACACTTATAAGGTGGGGATGACAACTATACCCATCTGATAGAATCTTTATAAGGTTTAAATTAGTTAACACATACAAAGTTCCTATAGTGGATTATTACTTTTTCAGTATCTATTGTTCAATTTAAAAATTTTAACCTGCAAATTTGAATCTATAAAATGTCTCAAAGACAGATTTTTACAACTGAAAAAATATTCATCAAGTAAATGTATTAAAGGGCAGTAAACTAAAAATACAAAGAAATAATAGTCCAAAATTTGGATTGTCACATTTGTTTCATGATAAGACATTCTCATAGAAGAGGAAGTATAAAAAGTATAATTTAAATTCTTTCATTTCATTACTCTCAATAATCGGTGTATAGGTCTAGAAATTCTTGTCTTACTTTTGTGTTTAATGGTCTTCTGTTTAGAAGATAACAATATATTATTTGAAAGTAAAATTTGAATTGTAAATATAACTATGTTGAAATGTGTGTTGATATTAATGTATCAACTCTTTATGAACTACTTTATGAGTTCCTGAAATATACTTTCAATTGCCTGACCTGTACATGTCTTTGATGGCTATATGAAATTCAAAACAATGTGGATTTACAAGCCCAAAACCTCTATAATGAATGACATAATCCAGTTTTCCTACAAAATAGTTTGAAAGAAAACTGGAGAGTTTCCATTTAAAAGTCAAAAAGCTGTCTTATATTTCAAAGGAAAAACAGCTTAGTATGCTAAGCAAGTCCTTTTTGGTATGACAGAAACAGCCAGTGAACAGAAAGTACTCTGTAGAACCTAGCTAAACTCTGAAAAGGCCTTATACTTTCTATGTATATAATTTATAACCATATATAAACATATAATTTGCCACCAAAAACTTTATTTCTACCTAGCTTTAGAATTTTTATGATTATTATTAGCTTATCTTGACTCAGTACACTGCTGAAATGCAATACAATAATAAAACTCCGGATTGATTATAAACACTAAACATTTTTTCATTGTGAATCATTTATATCTTAAGAAGAAATAATATTTTATTGGTTTCTGTTTGCTATTTCAGATACCACAACAAACTTAGGAGTCTAGCTAGGGAAGTTTGTATTGTATTGTATTTTACTTTTGTCTTTGTGAGACAGGGTTTCACTACGCAGTTCAGACTGGCCTTGAACTCACTTTGTAGCTCAGGTTTCAAATGTATATATATAATCCCAAAGGTTTAGGACATGAAGTAATTTTTAACTTTAATAAAACAATACATTTGAAGGACATGGGTCATAAGTAAGTATTGAAAGTGTGTCTAGTAAAATTCCTATCACCAACACTTGCTATGGTTTGATTGTGTGCTTTGAAAAGCTTGCACCAAAACTTCCTGCTGGTGGGAGGTGTGTAGGCCATGGCAGTTCCACCTTCATGGATTAATAATGGCTTGAGGAGTCCAGTGAGGTCTCTTGCTTGTTCTGCTCTCTTTTGCCATTTTGCCTTCCACTATGGGATGACACAGGATGCAGGTTCTTACCACGGGCCGGCTGGCACCAACTTCTTTGACTTCCTGGCTTCCAAAACTGTGAGCCAAACAAATGTCTGCTCTTTATCAATTACCCAGTTTTAGGTATTATACGCAGAAAATGAACTAAGAGAGCGTTATGACAAATCTCTGTTATTTTGTACTTATCACTTGACTGATGTGCTATCATTGTTAAGCACATGGCACACTGAATCAATCTTAGGCTACAAACTTCAAGAAAATAAAGGGTCAAATATAACTACAGTAAAGCAGGATTTTATGCTAACAGGAGGAATGGTGAGGTGGAGAGTCATGAAAATCAAAGAAGATGAAGGTTTAAACCCTGTAACACCCTCAGGTGTGACCGGTAAGGGAACTCACCGCAGCACTTCTGCTTTGGTGAAGGGAAGGACCGGCTCTCAGAGGCCACCTGTGTATTGTGTACTGCGATTGAGGGCAAGATCATTTCATCACTGTTACGCTACCAGCACATGGAACAGGCCCTACACATCATACGTTCCCAATAAATATTTGTCAATAAATGAAAGAATATTAAAGAAATTTAAAAAGCAATTAAATACTGAGAGGAGTGATGAAATTTTATTCTGTTGAGTTAAAGCTTTTTAATTTTTTATTCAAAGTTTTAATAAAAAATGTTTAAAAGGCTTGTGAATTTTTTCATAATGTTTATATGAAAGCATTCTTAATTTGTGTGTCTAGGTGTTCCTTTTCAGTTTTAGACATGGTTATAAAATAAAGATTCATTTTACATGGCTTTGCACGTATTTCTCTTCAAGTAAACATTTAAAAGAAAACTCCTGAAAAAGATCCTGGTATCCAAAAATCATTAGTTATTTACGAAACATTCTTGCCCTAAAAGTTAAATTAATCTCTAACCAAGACTCTAAAAGTAGCAATGGTTTTCAACCCTGGTTGTATTTTAGAGTTTAACTTGACACTATCCTTTAAAAAAATGAAGAGATATTATTTAGAACTCCAAAAGTAAAAACAAAGCCAACAGCTCCTTATCTCCCCTGCTTTAGAATGAAGATAAACCCTGGCTCCTTCCCAGAATAAATGGCAACTGTGAGGCAGGAAAATCACAAGATGACTGGGATACCTGGACAGAGGCATCCGTTCAGAGCACAGGAATCACTAAGAAAGAGAGTCAGGTAGTCAAAAATGGGACCACATGAGCACCCGAAAGAAAAAGGAATGACAATACTAAAAGCAGACGCTACAACGCAAGAACAAACAAAATCAATAAAAATAACTGGCCTTATGGGAAGACTGAGTGTGGGCCTCAGGTCTCAAAATTAATTCAATGTTCTACCTGGAACACACACACACACACACACACAACCAGAAGAAATCCTACTCACACTACACATTCAACTGAAAATATTTGTCAGATTACACGGTAAAGAAATACTACAAAAAAATCTAGACTTAACCACAACAAAGAACATTTGGTGCACATACACAAGGGTTTGGGGTGCTGCAGAGGAGTGAGACTTGCCACGAAGGCAAGAACAAAGTGACCAAAAGAGGAATAACTACCACAGGCGCCCCCAGAAGACTTAAAGGCAACCATCGGGGTGTAACGCGAATGAGCATCATATGCAGTATGAAGGCGCCACCTACTGGCGTTCGGCAGCGTTACACGGCAACAGCGCAGCTCGCATTCCTCCAGGATTGTCAAGGTATATGCAAGTCTGGGAAAAATTATCTGTGAATTAAGGTGACCTCTTTGTCACACTGAC